TGGGGATCGAACTCTAAGCCATTGCTTCCACATTTTTTTGGCATTCTGAGAGCCGATCAGAGAAATTATCCTCAGTTTCATACTGCACGAGCATATAACAGGCAAAGAACCGGCTTTGAAGAAGGATTCCACGTCCTGGAAGCAAGGGTCAATCCTATGTTGCGACAAGTACCAACGGGGGTGTCGTATTTTGGTGAGATTGGAGGGGGGGGGTCGTATTTGATTAGAATTCATGGTGAGTTTAGAGCGTGTAGTGTGAAGGAGCGAGAAAAATTTCGTTGTTTCAGTGTACGTGATGAGGGTGGTGAAGAGGGGTCGTGAAATTTTTGATTGGTAGAGGTAGGTGATCGTAAAAATTTTTGGAAAAGTCACAACGGTAAGATCGACCCTGCCTGGAAGGGTTTCTGGTTAGAGCGGCACGCGTCGGCAACTTGTAATGCGACAATGTGTATCAAACAGCATGTAGGCCGACTTCGAAATGCTCCTTTTCTCACAGAAGTTAGATCGATTAGTGGACCGTGGAATTTTACGAATCATTTCCTCACCGGATTTGTTTTTCTCGTTTTTTTTCCCGCCTTAACGTTGAGCCTGAAGGTTTTTTGCATGCTGCGTAAGTTTCCTGTCTTTTGCACGCATTCGCGAGACAAAACCTTTTCCCTCTTAGTTTCTTTTCCATTCCCACCCTCTCTATATTGTCAGCCTCTACATCAGGGTCAACCGTGCGTTCGCACTATTCCAACGAAGGGGCCGCATTTTTGGTTTTGGAAGGGGCTCGCATTTAGGGGTTGTGGGAGGAATGGGATTAGTGATATGGCGAGACGATTTAGATTTGTTTTTTGTTGAGGATGGAAGTGGCTTGCAGCAGCGCGAGGTAGGGTAGGTGGGAGTAGGAGAACAAATTTATCGTTTCAGTGCACTAATAAACCCCCGCTCGACGGTCGTTTTGGAGGAAAAGTGGGCGGAGTTGGGCTGTGTCGACTGGTCTCAGAATCAAATACTATAGAAACAGCCATGATGGCGAGGTGGTGGTCGAGGGTGGTGGTCGTATTGGGGGAGCCTCCTGAGTCTCTGATGGTGGGGGGTCGCATCGAGACCCCCTATAGGAGGGGGTCGCGAAATTTTCGAAAAAGTGCGAAGGTCACGGCTGACCCTGCTTTACATTCCCCTTTCCTTTTTCCTTATCACTCACTATTTTCTTCCAATCTTATCATTATTTCCCTTCGTGCTGCTCCAGTTTATTATCCTTCACGCTGCAGGTGCGCTTGCCTTCCTGCACCTCTTCCATCTTTTCTTGCAAGCTCTCCATACGTGTAGCTTTGTCCTGAGTAGGTGTCGCCCAGCAGGGTCTGTCCTATCGTTGTTACTTTTCGAAAAATTTTACGACCCCCCTCCCCCAACGTGGATTTGATACGACCCCCTTTTCCCTACCTCCACCATCTCCATCTTCCATCAAAACCCCGCCCACTTTTTCCTCCAAAAATGCCGTCGAGCGGGGGGGGGGGGGGGGTATATAGTCACTCTGAAACGGTAAATATCTCCGAAAATTTCCTTCTATTTCCACCATTTCAACCACCGACCCACTGAAGTGGGTACCACCCCAACTCCTACAACTGCCTGAGCGTTCGAATTTCGCGGACTCCCAACACTGCATTGGCTCGCCCCTCATCTGGCGGTGCCTGCCCGTGTTTACTAACCTTTACATTATTTTTAAATTGCTATTCTAACCTGTTTTTCGAGGCATCTCAAGTTTTTCATAATTCCTGATGATCTTTCACGACTTTTTTGTCATCTTAACAGCATGTATCCCGCCGGTCAGAGTCTTTCCTTAGTAGCTCTATCCTGACTATTCAGAATGGTCCGTTAGCAGAGCTCAGGATTCGTTTCGTTCGCTCAGCTCCCTCAACAGCCTCCGTTGGCTTTTTCCTCTCAAACTTTAGTGTCACTTGTTCCTAAAAAACACATGTGGATCGGATTTCATGTCAACACTCGCAGTCCTGTGTATGACTGCGATCGCGTTTGGCCGCTGTTCCCGCGTTCCTCTCGAAGTATCCATCTATTTCGCGACCTTCTCAACAATTTTTAATATTTCAGCGCCAATTTTCTCTAATCTGAGAGCAACTTACAGCCATAATGTAAATCGGTAGTAAACCGTGTTGACTGCGATATGGTTTCTTATTGTCTTAGAAAATCCACAAGTCAGAATTCACTAGAATATAAATAGACTGTTCAGAGAGTGATCCACGGGTCGAGTTTCGTCCAACGCGACCCATGCTCGTCCCCGTGTTAAATACGACCCCCTCCCTTCCCAACACAGGCCCCTCCTCCATGTTATGATGGTCAGTGTCGTCGATCCTGGTGCCACTGACACACTCAACCCCTCTCCCGATGGTTCCTCTAAGCTGGCGTCGAAAGCGTGCGGGGGGAGGGGGCGATATTTATGATGCCTAACGGCAAGGCTCACTTTTCCCCCGCTTTGTTTCACGAGAAATCCGAAATACGATCCCCTGAAAAATTCTTAGTCAGTTTTCCCTCCACTCTCCACTACCCACCCCTCCCGGGCGATTCCGAAAATTCCAAAATACTATTCCATGTCGAAGAAGTATAGTCGTGGTTCGCCCAGCCTTCAAAAGTCAGAGAAGGCGAGAGAAACTCACTAGATGGGTAGAGTTCTTGAGCGCTCCAATGTTCTTGCTGTTTGTTTTTCTCAGGAAACGAACAAAGCGTTCGTGAATTGCCATTCATTCGTATAACTTCCCTACTACAAGTAATTAGATCCCATATTAGGCCTCATCGAATGTTGGACACCTTAGGCAATGCTTGTCCGCCGGGTCCCAGCTATTTTCCACATTAAAGTCCTTCTATCTACACCCTCGCGCCAATCAACCAATTGACACTCCGACCTCGGCGGCGAATATGCGTGGCGTATTCGTTATACCGGTTTCCCAACAGAAAACAAACTCCCCGCCCAAGTCTTAAGGTTATTGGGAAACGCGAGGACCGTTTATTCCTGAACAATCCCAGCTTCGCCCCATGTCCTCCCCAAGTGCGATAGATGATGTTATCTTGTTTTTTCACACATAAAAGCATGGTTGCACTCAGTGAAAGCCACTGATCAAGATGAATTGCCCGGTCTGATACCCTCCCTCCATTGCTCGTAACTCGTCCGACACCAGCTGATTCGATTCGTAATAATGTTTGCAGCTGCAGAATGACGCCAAATCGCACCTTTCGAAGTTCTCCACTGACTTAGGACTCCGTGAATAAATACCAGAAACATAATCCGCTCCCTCCTCCCTCCACACTTCCCGGACCATCCTCGAGGCTAGACGTAGAGTGAGCTTCCAGCACGCTGAAAGACTACACGGTTTGGTGTTTATCCCGACGTGCGTACCGTTAGGACTCGCACGTGGAAACCCAATATGGGCTAATGAGTGGCCCGACATCAGCCGTTTCAAAAGACTTAGTTCCTCCGTTTCTTCACCATTGTCTTTTCATGTCGATCAGTCCTTGCTATTCCCTCTAGCTCTTACCAATTCCAATCGTCGCTGTGACTTACGTCCCACTTTGCCTGTCTTTAATATAACCTGCTTGGGCGTGATAATTGTTCTGTTAATATACTGGAAGTTTCTTGCCCAAGTTTCACCAAACACTTTTAGGCAAGAACAGAAACTTGCGAAGTGTTTTATCGAAAAGTAAGTAGTACGTGCGAAAAGAGGTGATGGAATGGGCAGGCAGAGGTGTGTTGGCCTAATCGTGCTCTCCTGCCCGCCCTCCTCGTCTCCTCCCCCAAACCTCCGAGCCGAGCAGCTGTCTTCCCCACCAAGCAAAAGCGATGTAATCATCATGCGCAGCACACCGCACTTGCTATCGCACCCATTCTCAACCGAACTCGCTCCAGTTCATCTATTTTTTATCAGACGCTCATTGTTCATCGTGTTTTCACTGGAAATCCTGAGATCTTTCAGAAAACTCCAATTACTCAGTGAAACATTCTATGATCGGAAGTTCGCCACCGCCGAAAAAATTCCAGGCAAAGGTGAGTTCCATGGTTCGTAATTGCCCCGAATTCGCCTATGATTTTGCTGAAAATGCGTCCACTCATGCGAAAGTGTGGAACAGGGGAAACGGGACGTAAAGTGGGTAGCGGTCGAAACAGCTGCTGAGAATTTGGTTCACATTCCGTTGAAATTCGATATCAACATGATGGAAGGGGGTATCAAGTGTTGTGTTCCTGCAGCTTGGAAAGTTATTTAGGGGACCAGCTGCTTCGATCGATCGCCCATGTTCAGCAGTTGTTCGTGATCACATTTTGGCCCCTTTCACCCGAACTCTTCCAGCTCTTCAAAAGAGGAAATTGTTTCAGCTGAAGAGATGATGCTGCAACTGCGATTCGCTCGCAAGCGATTGCGAAAGGCAAGGTCGGAACTAATTTCCATGTGGCTGCTTAAGTACAACAGATGTGTGTCGAAACTCAAGAAACGTCTGCTGGACAAAAGTCAGGTGGAACTCGAACGCCGAAAGACTCAGGCCAAACTTCAGCCGCTTCCCGGTTAGTTGAACTCGCTCAGAGCCAATTCCGTTACCTTTCGTCTTCCTACGAGTGCAGCTGTATTAAGGCGCATTATGAGTTTATTTTACGACTCGCTGTACCGCATTGACGTCATCGGCGAAAACGGCGCCCGAGCGGCGTCAGCGCAGGCGGCGGCCATTGCGATCGGGTTGTGCTATGGCAAACTACATAAACGGTTTCAGATCGACCGATACGACGGTAGGCATCAAAACTCAGCCGAAAACCGACGAATGAAGTTGAACGTCTCAGGCGAAAAGGGGATCGATGGACAATCTGCACTGCATACACGGAACTTATTGCGCACAGACATTTTCCGTCAAACTATTGCCACGACCCCGTTCCCAGATGCCATGGCGAAATCTCTTTCAAAATATCAACGCGACTAGCTGAGATTGGTCTAGAGCAGGTCATACTTTGAATTATGATATGGAGGCTAGAACCTGCCTTCGCTCTCAGCGCTCCAACTTCGATATATCGATAAACTAGCGAACTACTCTGACTATAATAATCAAGAATTTGCATGGTCAGGTACTCATTCTAATACACATCTACTGGGGCGTACTATAGGCATTAGCAGCCATTAGAATTGTCATACCCTGAATTCGTATTCTAATATATAGGAGAGTCATGTATTTGTGTAAGACCAATCCAGTCAGCGAGTACTTCTGGGTACGAAGCCAGGCGAGAGCGAGACAAGCCTGGTCTGATACGCGGAGCAGAACGGTACCCACATTAAGCTTCACACGTTGCAAATATCTTGAACAGAGAGCGCGACGCGTATTCTATGTGACGGCATATGAACAGGAGTAAACTGAACACAATACAAGCATATATCTTCCATGTGGGACTGCGAGCAATCGTGTGCGAGTTGCGCAGATGCGACATAGCGTATGTCCCAAGCCTACTGATTCGTATGTGGTCACCAATCATGCGATCGTATGTGTGTTCAGACTCTCGTCTATGTGCATTGACCGGTGAGTCAGGAAATATCTCTTTGAAGCTCCTCTGGCATGTGGTTGGTTAACGAGAATGCTGGGTTATGAACAAAAATTTTGCCCTCAGGAGGGTCTGAAACGGGGTCATCCCTACGTTGCTACTAGTCAACGGGAGTCGTACCTGTTGAGTTATAGCGGAGGGGAGGGGCGTATCCGTTCAGTCCGTGAAAGCACTATGAGTTTGTGGCGAAAGTTGGAGGTTTTTTGTTCCCCCTCCCCCCCCCCCTAGAAAATGAAGCAGTGAGATATAGGTAGAAGTGGGTTAAATTGGTTGAAATGTAGGGAATTTTGGTACAATTTTTACTGTTTCATATTGGGTAGTAAAGGGGGTATCGTACCAAGTCCACATTGGGGGAAGGGAATTCGTAAAAATTTTTGAAAAAGTAACAACGATAGGACTGACCCTGGTCTGGAACCCGCACTCTCGCTCGTCGGGCGAGTGCGCCACAAGCTACGCTACCGGGGCACCATTTCGCACTAACATCGCTTTTCATGGTATATTTACCCTAGCTCGTCGGCATTCACACGTCCAAAATGATAAACCGGTTAGCCGTCATGGGCAGTGAACTGCAAGGCTTGAATGCGCTGAAGATATTAATTCAATAATTAGTTATCAATAATTATAATAAAAATTATGTGATTGCTATTTCAGACGATTCCACCAGTGTGCTGTTCCGCGAGACGCTTTCCGATAGCGAGAACTTTGACTACCGCTTACTGGATGAAGTACAGTTCGCTAAATCGGTTGATAAGGTGGGTTAAGGCGCTCAGCGAATTTGCTTACTGGATTTTTGATCGTCAGATTTCTTTTTTCTAGATCACTCTTTTGGAAAACCACGTAATCGATCAGTTCTACATACGCAGACGTTCGTCAGGATCGTTTCGATCGAGTTTTCGCTCGAACGCATGAACCGAACTCCATCCGGCGATCGACAAAATCGCAAAAAAAATCTTCACGAAATTGATCCACCACCTGAGCAATCACCACCACCCAACAGCACTTCTGCTACGACACCGCCTGACTCCTCTGCAGATCGTCCACTTAACGACATCACTCTCAATAGATAACTTGGCTCTGAAATCTACAACGCCCGGCGATCCCCCGAGTGACTCCGCAAATCCAGTGCCTTGTTTGAAAGCGGATACACAAGAAGGTGAAAGTGTTAGCCCACCTACGCATCGAGTCGTACATTTCAGCGATGAAGAAGCATCGGATGTCGAAGTCTGACCGTATGGATCTCGCACCTCACGGTTCTTTATGGGTAACAGGTAGCTTTCCGGGGAGAATAATTCACATTTGTTTTATGTGTTATTCGTGTTTTGTTTTTACTTTATTTTTTTTCTCTTACTAATTTCCTTGTAAAGAGTTTTGATTTGTGATTACAGCACGGTTTCATAGGTTATTTTTCGATGTTACTCTTTTGTCATACTTAGACTGAGGGCCTTTTTGTATTTCTCACTTTATGACTGCATTACATTGAATCTTTCACAGCCTATTGCTCATCTTTGTTTTGATGTATTTAAAATGTAAATAAAATAATTGAATTATTTCGCTCGCGTCACTACCAGCCGTTTTATCTATTCAACTAGCTTTTTCGAAAGTTCTCCCTCATAACTAATTCCCAACGACGCCTTTGTTCTCCTGCTCAAGCGTTAAACAGCTGCGAGCCCTGAGACCTTTACACCACACGAATGTTGAAATATGGTCAAGGCTTCTATGATTAGGTGAGACTCGAAATTCACTCATTCAGGGTCAACCGCCAATTTAAGTCACAATTTTACGACCTCTTCTCTGGAGAAATTTAGCGTCCCTACGACCTCCTCCAATGGCCGACAGTACACCCACTTGATCATTCTCAAATACTTCATAGCCTGAATTTCCTCCAAAAGTACTGTTGAGAGAGGTACATAAGCCGCTGAAACAGCCTGTATCTCCTCTCCTTGCATTTCTGCATATTTGTCTACCTTCACGACATCTCTTTTCCACAAATCGCGATCACGTCCCCAGTGGAAAAATTTCAACGACCGGTTGACCCTGGCTCGAACCTGTTTTAATGCTTTTTGGCACAGTATTTGTTTACCGCACTAGCTTGGCCCGGGCGGAAGTGGTGTAGTGGCAAGTGGCACGCTTACCACGCGAGCGGTCCGGGGATCAAATCCTGGGTCGTGAGTCGCCCGGGCCAACCAAGCCTTCCATCCCTCCGGGGTCGGTTAATTGGTACCAGACTTGTCTGGGATAAAAAATATAAACAGAACAGAGTATAAGATAAAAACACTGACTTGAACATCGGCTGGTTCCCGCAAGCGCCACTACGAATGTACAAATGGAAGTAGAATGCGTGCCGCATCCCAAAAAGGGATTGATCAACGGCAAATGCTTTATCCTTTATCCTTATTACTATCTTGGCCCCGTGATCGCTTTATCGGCTCCCTCTTTTTTCACAAACGGCTAACGGAGAATATCTCGAGCAGTTGTTTCTCAACGATTCCTTCTTGACTTTCAGATAGCATAGAGCGAAGCTGAGTTCTTCCGTCGGAAAAGGGAAAGAGTCAAGTCCGAGAGTGCGGATAAAGCGGCGAGTAATCGCCTGAGTAGCAGAAAGTGATAACAGCGCAAACAAATTCTCTTTGGAAGTAGAGCTATTAAAGGGCGCCCTAGGGGAACTATATCAGACTGCTGTTAGCCCTGTGGTGCTCTTTGGAGAAGTGGAAGTAGTAGAACCAGAGGACGGAAGTACTCATGAAGGCACAGGCTAACGGACAAATGATTGAGATGTGAATGGCCTAATAATAATACTGGACAGGGTCAGAAGTAGGAAGTATCGAATGTCCTTCTATTGTATAAAGCACTAAACGTTGCTGTGTGTTGGTATGTACTGTATGTATGTATCTTTGTATGCATGTCTGTCCGTCCGCAAAATGAGTCAGAATAGGAGGAGCTAATGGAATAAACAAACCTAACAAATCGGGTAGCTTACAGGATTTGAGATATCATGTTTTGTAGATAGGATAGTGTGATAACACTCTCAGGGCTATATAAACACCTGCTTAGCACACTTCCGTTCATTCCACATGGTGCTGCAGTGGCAGCTGGAGGGCAGTGGAGAGAGGAGCATAGGATGGGGAGGGAGGCTAAAAACTGATCACCAACAGGCCTAAGATGCAGTTAGGTGTTGATATGTCATTCCATGATTTATGGCGATGCCCTTTACTGGATGGAAAGCGGAAGACGTAAAGCAGACGCAGGAAAGGAGGGTCCCGGCGGTTGATGGGGGACTAATCTGGTACACTGATATGATAGAATTGATAGTAATGTGGATCGTGACGAGCTCGATGAAGAAGAAAATGCATTGAGCGGAACTCAACTTGATTTGGTTGAGGTTGAGACTCAAAAGACGGACACTGCAAAACACACTTCTATATTTACTAGAAGAGAACTTAATTTTGATCATTTTCCTTGTTACTGGAAGGAAATTCAATTTCGCTCACTTATTTTGTCTTAACTTCAAAAAACATTGCTGAGAACTGACAGAGTCCTACAAAAAACAAGGAGCAAGAAACTCTTGCCACCTGTTCCCAGTTTCCTTAGGCGGAGACTAGCCCACAATAATTTTTGCAAGTTCGAACTTCGTGAAATCACCTGTCGGCCCGCCGCCAGGCACGGACATGTGCACTCCCCTGCACCCCATCGCAGTTGGTAGTTCTTGAAATCATGTGCCAGCCGGCAGCACTGCTGTGATCTGAATGAGTGGTAATTAGAAAGCGGTGTGCCCCACAACTACGCTGGGGAACGAAGGATGTTTCATGCAAATAGCGAATGTTGTTATGTTTCGCGAAATTTGTCGCGCCAACGAGCCGACGGATTGGGGTGCGGATCATGTGGCAGCCACCTTTTGCCCTTTGGCCCTTTACCATTGCATGTGAACATATCCAAACTAACTTTTAAGTAGGCTATTATCAGTTTGCAAGCTTTTTACATTAATGCTTGAAAGCTTAAGCATGGATTTTATTTTTTGACAGATCGGGCTGCTTTTTGCTATTGACATAATAATCACCACTTTTAAATTGTTGGAACCATCATCTACATATGAGGTCCAAATGGAGTCTGACCAACATGAGCTTCCCGAAACTCTGGCAAGCCTCAGCAGCTGGTTTCTGTGAATCGAACTGCAGAAAAGTCGAAGGTCGAAAGATGCAATTTTGAGCGCTTCATTTCAGACATGCTAGAATAAGAAAAAGTTACTAGTAATGGCAGGGAAACTACTATTAGGTACCGGATATCTTAGTGTCGTTTTTTCACCACGAGTTTCGGACCACCAATATTTTAATTCAGAATCCGGGGAGTGAAACAGCATATTCATCGAATGACTCATTAGCACTTTCCCATTTACCAGTATGAGTGGAAACCTCGTACGATTAAAGCTAGGAATTTTTTGAGTCGAAAAAGAGAGGTAGGTCGGTTTTGACATCATCTGACAAATCATCCCTCTCACTTGCTAAAAGTTAGGCCTGGACAAAAGAAGTATACAGTTAGTTAGAGTAGGGTCTGCACTGTATGGTGGAAAAGTTAAACTTACCAGCTCAACTGGACAATTTTTCCCGGAGTCTTTTTTGCCACATAGGGTCAAAAACGCACCCTTTTTGAGCACACGTGAGTAGCAGATGAGCACATTTATTAGAATTTCTTGTGCAATCAACTTCGTTAAAGCGTTTGTGCATCATCGATCAGTCACTGCTAAGGTGTCCTACCATTTCAGCACAAGACTGGTGCAGCCCCGTCTCGACTGATTTAACTAGGGCCACCTTTTTGACGACGATTGCGGGCATCACTTCAAAGACTTCACTGTCTTTTGAGAAAACTGTGAAAAACCGATGAGCATTTTAAATGGTAGTATTCCCTCCAACAAATGCAATGTTGGTTTGGTGGGCGGAAGTTGTAGCTCTCAGCAAGAATTTTGAAGCATTTGGTACACACATGCGAATTTGCACACTGGACCCAGGAATTTTCAAAAAAAGTATAAAAATTGGGGGAAAGTTAAATTGTGAACCAACAATAGAAAACAATAAGCAACATATTTCGCAGTATTAATGAGCAAAAGCTTCTGAGATATTGATTTTCCATAGTAATCGGCCCCAAAACTTCCTGAACTCAGAAAAGCGACACTAAGATATCCGGTACCT